ATCTCATGGTTAGCAGGCGAGCATGTTAACTGTTTGCACCACCCAGGGACTGCTACACAAGGCCCCACTAACCTGTCAGTGGGAAACATCGGCCAATCTAGGCCTGCAAGAAAGGTCCGGGTTCCAGGGGCACAGTGACATAGCTAATCTTTGAGGAAAACCGCCTGAGAGTGGCCTCTCCATTGCGGCGTGGGCCTGTGGGTTGTGTCTGGAGATACCGTGTGCCCTGTACCTGCAGGGCTGGCAGAGATTCATTAGGGACCCTGAACATGCTCGCTGGGACCACTTTCTGAAGCCCCTTAAGATTCTGTGACTGTATTTCCTGGTGTCCTGTCTCTTTTGGGTCGGGTCCCTGCAGCAGGCCATCCCGACAGGCGGCCTGAGCCCTGGCCCGAGTCCAGTCACTGTTTCAGGAAGGAAACAATCCTACAAGAGTCCTGTCGGTCCTTTCCTCCCGGCCCTCCTGGTGTGTCTCGGGGCCTCGAGCAGGTTCATCCCTGGGAGATGCTCTTCTGAGAGTCGGCATTTAGCCCGATCCCCCAGTGAGGCATGCATAAAAATTCCCTGGGATTCTGGCTAAGTAAGGCTGGAGTGCTCCGTAGAGGCAAGGATGGTAAGACGTCATCTTACATACTGTGTCCATGTTGTCAGGAGGGACCAGTCCCTGAAGATGGACATCATGCTTGGTGAAGTAGTGGGTCAGCAAAAAAGAGGAAGACCCTGAAGGAGAGGCATTGACCCAGTGGCTCTAACACTGAGCTCAAACACAATGGTGAGGCTGGCGCCGGACCGGGCAGTGTTGTGTGTGTTGTCAGCACGGTTGCTGGTGGGCAGACTAGACTCAATGGTACAATGCTCTGCAGCTAACTGAAAAGCCAGTGGTTCGAACCCAGCAGCTTTGAACTGCTGAACTTGTGGTCAGCAGCCCAGCAGGGAACGCTGCTGCCTGGGCTTATGCTCTGTGCTCCAGGTGCTGTTAATCTGTCTTGCACTGATGAGGAAAATGAGGAATCACATGGGAGTTGGCTGGGCAGGGATTTGAATCAGGGTCAAACCGGAGCCTTCCTTATCTCCTCCTCCCTATGGCACAAGACGTGACCTTTAGCATTGGCTAAGGCCTTGATTTAGGGGGGCATGTGGGCACCTCCTGGCCTCTTTTTTCGCTGTCCAATTGAGACATGCAATTACCCCAGACTCTTTATGGACCGCATCCTTTATTTTTCTGGCTTGTGCTTTTAAGCCTCTATTTGCAGCCATATTTTAAGTTAATTATTGGTACTCTAAAAGCTCTTAGACTCCCGTATAGTACTCTAAATACATTGTGGCATTTTAAAATAAAACATCAGCCACTGGGAGCTGGGCATCATTCTCTCTCCTGGCCTGAGCGTCAGTGTTATGACAGGAAGTCACTAATGAAATGGACGTAAAAAGAACCTCCCTGAAGATTTAAGAGGGTCATATATTCTGTGTAATTGTTGTTTTGCTAGTTAGCTTCATCTCCATTTGTGTACCTGCTGCATAGTCTTAATTACGTTCAATTATTCCATGTTTCGTAAATTACATCAAGTCTCTTCATTTCTCTTACTGTCCAAAGCACTCTGTTGGGTGGTGCATGTGGTCTCTCTCCTAAGCACATCAGCTGAGGTTTTTGGGGCGAGGTTCCCATAATAACTCCCTGGAAGATTGGGAATTTCACCCCTTACACGCTTGTAGCAAGGAGCCTTGGTGGCGTAGTGGCTATGCATTGGGCTGCTAACTGCAAGGTCAGGAGTTTAAAACCACCAATCACTCTGGGAGAGAAAGACAGGGTTTTTCTACTCCTGAAAAGAGTTACAGTCCTGGAAGCTCCCAGGGCCAGTTCCACCCAGTTCTATTGGGTCCCTCTCAGGGGGCATCCACTCAAGGACAGCGAGTTTGGGTTTTGTATGCACTTCCAGCATCTTTTAAAGGAAAGAAAGTCAATTTCTTGTATGCCCAATAGTCCTGAATTCTTCATTGCTTTATAGAAAGAGTGAGTGTATGCACAATTTCATATTTTCCCTCATTTCTTTTCAGGAATTACAGCACATTGTTGGGTCGCAGCACATCAGAGCTGAGAAAGGTAAGCATGAACCTGTGACTATGGGCAATTCCACAGGGCTGCCACTCTCTGAGCTAACCTGGCTCTCTCATCTCCAGCTACGGTGGATGGCTCGTGGCTAGACCTGGCCAGGAGGGGCAAGCCTGACAGTCAGCCGTTTGCTCATCTCACTATTAATGCCACCAACATCCCATCAGGTAAGTTTCATTTGCATACAGCCTGCAAACTCTTTCCAGAGTCCTTATCAAACCATTGGAATATGCAAATGTATTTGCCTGTAAGATAATAACTTGGTGGGTGAGAATGAGTGGCAGCTGTTTCTCATGCGATGGGATCGAGCCTATATCTGTGTTCCCGCTTTTCCATCATTCTTGACGCCAATCACCCACCAGGTAGTTTCTCTCCCAGCCCCTAGCCATCCAGAGCTAGAGCAGAGCTTGTACTTGTTAGCCCAAGGACACCTTCCTTGCATTTGAGAATTCTTTGGAACAACTTGCAGAACCCGCAGAAGATATTATTCTGACCACGACTGGTTTTAGGGATGGCGAAAGAAGATAAGTCAGAGCCAGCCTAAGAAAGAGAGGCGTGGATGAGATCTGGGGAGGTCCCTGGGGTGGAGCCCATGTGTCTTAGACACCAATCACTCTCCTTCTACCAACCAGGAAGCTCTCCGAGCTGCAGGCTTAGCCCCCTTCATCGCCAGTCTGTGAGGGTGGCCAAGTGATGCTCCTGAGACTAGTTGCTATCGACCTCCCAGGGGACTCTGTTCCCTCCCAGGGGAGTCTGTTCCAGTCTGCCCAGACCCGTTTAGCGTGAGTGCTCCGGCAGGGACTGTGGATTCTAGAGGTTGGCTGTCAGTTGCTCCAAGTTATTTCACATAAACCAAGGACAAACGTCAGCTGCCTTTGGGTAAAGCCAGGCCCTTTACGCCTTAGCCCATTAACCAGATTTTGAGAGCTTTTAACTTCTCACCCGAAAGAAGGAGCATTGAGTTCACAACTGATGATCCACACCCAAGCAGACACCCTGGTAACAAAGATCCTCCATCATCCCTCAATTTCAATTGGGCTTTGACAATGGAAGAATGTGTCTCTGAGATCTCTGTTAAGTAGCACCCCGTATTAACAAAGCAAAGCAAAAAGTATATACATCAAAGCACAACATTATGCCATTCGCTTGATCAGGCTGGGTGTGTACCCTGAAGGACTGTGGGTTGAGGGGGCAGCACAGGGAGGGAAACCTCTCGTGCTGCTCATCTCATCTCTGCCAAACTGGAGCTGACACACCCCTTGCTGACTCTGAGACTCAGCCCCTGCCCCCCAGGGGCTCATCATTGGCTCTGGGTTGGAGTTTAACTGGATGTTCTGGAGGGCTCATTCATTATCTTTGGGGAATAAAACAGTCCAGAGCTTGGAGCCTGCCTCTTTGACTATAATGCACCAGCTCTTTTATCATGTTACACCCGACCCCCCTGCTTCATGCTTGCTTTACCTGGGGCGAGGTAAGTGCTCCAAAGACAGGGCATTATAACAGAACAACCATTCGACACCACTGCCACTCTTTGATAGTTTCTTGAACACCCACCCCATGGCGGGTGTTCTGTCTGCGTTCATGCTCTGGTCTTCAGTAAAGCCACACCAAATCAGATGCCATAGAATCACTTCCAGCCCATGAAAAGCCAGGCGGGTCAGGGCAGACGTGTGCCTCTCAGGCTTGTCAATGGCTTTATCCTTCAGAAGGCATAACCAGGTCTTTCTTCCGCGAATCCTCACTGCTAATCCACTCCCTTCCAATTGAACCCAACCTGGGAGGACAGAGCAGGGGAAACTCAAAAGTCTCTACGGCTGCACATCTCTGTAGAAGGCAGCCATTGTTCCCCAAGGAGCAGCCAGTGGGCGGGTTCCAACCACTACCCTGCTAGTCTCTCCATTGACAGCCCTGTGCTTACCCATGGCACCTCTGTAATCTCAACTACAATCTTGAAATATAGGCATTATCATTCAGATTTTGCAGACAGTGAAACCAAATTTCATATAGACCAAGGTCACAGCAGTGACAGATTAGAAGTTGAATGCCAGGGAGGCTTGCCTAAACCCATAGTCATCATCTGAGCAGGCCATGGGCCAGAGAGATATCTTAAAATCAAAGCCCTTCTGTTACTGTTTTCCTGGAAGAAGTAGATCGGTGTTGCATTTAGTAGCCTGGGTTCTCCAATCCAACTGCCTGCCTTGGCAGCCCCAGGTACTACTTCCCAGCTATGTGGTTATTGGCAAGTGTGTGGGCTCCGGTGTAAACTGGGGATCACCTAGTGTCTGCCAGTACCTCACGTGGTGGCTCTGAGGATCAGATTCAGTCCCCGTGCTAACTTGCTAATCTAGAAACTAGCATTGTATGGCATTGGGAGTGTGATTGGCTATCATTACTTGATTTAATTACATAATTATGTACAATTCACTTTGCTCTAAAAGTGATTTAAGGCAACCGTTAATAAGTTATTTTGAAGTCGTTACCATAGCACCAAACACACAAACAAAACCCCCAAACAAAAAACATACCCATTGCCAGAGTGTTCTTCTAACTCACAGCGCCCCGAGGTGTATACAGCCGAGTGAAACTGCCCCACAGGGTTTCTTGGCTGTCCTGTGTGCGGAGACACATCACCGGGTCTTTCTTCAGCATCACAGGGGCAAGGGCTCTTCCTGACTGAAGATGGAGCGTGCAAGAAACCAGCTTCTTGTCTTCTAGGAGATGTCCCTACACAATTTGTCCAGTCTCAGATACTTTCTTCATAAACGAAGCCGTGTGTGTGTGTGTGCATGCGCGCGCGCACTTTCTGGCACATTGCTTTCCCTGGGTGGAAAGCTCATTTGCATGTGAGCAAAGGCAATCCAATTAACATGGATGCATCAGCTGTGCATGCAGTGAGCAGACTCTGCAGCTATCTTTTCAGCTTCCTCTAAATGGCATATGATAAATATTGCGTTACACTCTGTGCCAAAATCTGTTTGGCACTCGCAGCATGTTTGCGTTATAAAGCTCTGTCTGCAGGCACGAAGCAGCTGATCCTTGCCAGGAAGCAAGAGGCAAAACTCCTGGCTATTTTGCGAGGGTCAATGGGTTTGTGATGGAGTGGCATGAGCGAGTGTGTCTTTCTGTCTAAGAAAACAGGATCTGTGGTTCTGATTGTGCCACCAGTCCCGCAGGGTGTGTGTCTCCTGGCTGGGACTTGGGCAGGTGTCGGATGCTTCAGGGGAAGACAGCTTTCATCTTGCTTCTTCATTTTGGAGCACTGTTCTGTACGTTGGTCGCATATCAGAAATCAGAATCCGATGATATGGACCGTTTCCACAGTTCTTCAAGGTCTCAGGGCAAATCCCAAAGGATTGTTTTGAAAGCGTTAAAGCATGTATTGAGTGGAAATCTCAAAAGGTAAAGTCTAGTCTTAGGACGCAGCCTCCCCAGTTCTGCAGGTGGTGTTGTCATCTCGGGAGCCATCCCCCAAAGAAGCCGTGCTCTCTGATGAGCACGACGCACAGCGTCCGTGTGGCTCCCCTGAGGGACGCAGCTGGGTTTCTTTTCAATGGCCTTTGAATTTGGAGAACACCCAGAAATCTGAAGGGGTCAGATCAGAACTGGGAGGGCCGGGATGGGGTAAGATTTCCCCATGAAGTGTTTGGGGAACAGCCCTGGCTCCTCATGAAGAATGATGAGGTGGATTGTAATGGTGGGGAAAAAAAAGTCCTCTGCTCAACCTCCCTGGCCTTTTTTGAACCAATGAATTCCATTAAAAGACAAAATGCCTTCATGTTAAGCCCCCGGGATCGTGCTGTGAATCCACCAGTGTAAACCTCGTGGGCCACCAGAGTCCTTGTCCACTGATCACGGGATGCTGGCACTTGACTGGGAGCCTTTTGTTCTGTTGTGCCCGGGGTCACCACGGTTACCCCCTTGATCTCCAAAGACAGCCCCCATGACCTTCTTTGCCGACCTCTCTGGCTTAAACTTCACTGGGCCAGCAGTGGTTTGAATGGACCCTTTTTCTAGGAGCTGAAGACAAGTGCATCACTGAGAGACCTTGTCTGCAGCCATCCACTGAGCACACGCTCGGACGCATTTTATTTGGAATACATTTTTGTGTTTCTGAACTGGACTCTGAGTAGCAATACGTTTTGACTCAACCTCACATTTTATGAGGCTAGAATACATGACCTTTTTAAGGAGCATCTTGAAGCTAAATATTTGCAGGGTTCGCTCCTCCAGCCAGATTCTCTGATTGGCACAAATGGTTAAGCGCTCAATTACTAGCCCAAAGGTTAACAGTTCGAAGCCCTCAGAGCCGGGAGCCACTCCGCTCTAAGCAATATGCTGCTGCCAGGTCATAGCCTTGGGGGTTCTGTGCAGCTGTTCTTTCCCACACACCCGGGGTGGCCGTGAATTCGGTCTGTCTTGACAGAAACTAAAAACATCAACGCCTTCTCTGACACCTAGTGGCAGTGATGGTGGGGACCAGGGGCGCTGTAGTAAGAAGTGGTCAGCATGCCTTCCTTATTAGTGCTGCAAATCCCTGAGAGTCTCTCACCCAGACCTGGCAGACATCCTCACCTTGCCTTTCCATTACGCAACTGCATGCTGAGGCGTCAGTGGCTCCATGATAGAACTCTTGCCTCCCGGGTGGGAGGTCAGATTGGGTTCCTGGCCAGGGCACCTCGGGGGTAGCCAGCATCCATCAACCAGTCTAGGTGAGTGGCTGGCAAACTTGAGACAGAAGAGCCGATCCTGTCCCTCACAGCATTTTTAAATTTATTTGAGAGTCATAAATAAATTTTTATCAATAAATGAAATCACCATTATCTGAATAATATCCTTAAAATGTGTCCATTTTACTTCAGACCCACATGTATGTCCCAAAGAGCCGCATATGGCTCTTGGGCTGCATACCCACCCTTTGTCTAGGCCAGTGGTTCTCAGCCTGTGGGTCGTGACCCCTTTGGGGGTCAAATGACCCTTTCACAGGGGTCATCCGATTCATAAAACTAGCAAAGTGACAGTTATTAAGTAGCAACAAAGATAATGTTATGGTTGGGGGGGGGGCATCACCACAACATGAGGAACTGTATGAAATGGTTGCAGCATTAGGAAGGTTGAGAAGTCCTGGTCTAGACCATAGTTTCCTGAACTTACTTGACCTACTTCTTCCTGTTCAGAAAAAAAAATTACTTAGCACCCCCTGGCAATTAAAAACGTGTGTATTATGGCCCATAATCCAGGATAAAGTGTAGGTACCTGCTTTTGCAGGGCCCTCCACCCCATCCTTCCAAGTGCCCTGTAGGGGGTGATATATCGCACCTGGGGAAACACTGGTCTAGGCTATAAGGTGGACTAGGAAGCAAAGGCTGGTGGTCTGCAAACCCCGTGGACCATGGAAGCCTGCTCCCCACTTGATCTAGGGGCTGGGTCAGGGCTGGGGAGCGCTTTGTTCTGTTGTGCATGGGGTGACCATGATTTGGGGTCTACTCAAAAGCAGCAAGCGATGATATCAACAGCTCTAAAGTGCTCAGTAGAAAGTATTTCTTAGTATCTCTCCCCTTTTAGAAACTTCATTCTCAGAGATGTTCTGCCCCAGGAATGACTGTGCTGTGCTGTTTATCCCCAACCTCATGGAATGGTGAGAGCGCCTTGTTCCTCATCCAAACCTCTTCTCTCCTCAGGCTCCCACAAAGTGAGTCTCTCCTCTTGGTACCACGACCGAGGTTGGGCAAAGATCTCCAACATGACTTTCAGCAATGGGAGGCTCATCGTGAACCAAGATGGCTTTTACTACCTGTATGCCAACATCTGCTTTCGGCATCACGAAACGTCAGGAGACCTGGCCAAGGAGTATCTTCAGCTGATGGTCTACGTCACTAAAACCAGCGTCAAGATCCCAAGCTCCCACACCCTGATGAAAGGCGGAAGCACCAAATACTGGTCCGGAAACTCGGAGTTCCATTTTTATTCCGTAAATGTCGGGGGATTTTTTAAGCTACGGTCTGGTGAAGAAATAAGCATCCAGGTGTCCAACCCTTCACTACTGGACCCAGATCAAGATGCAACTTACTTTGGGGCTTTCAAAGTACGAGATGTAGATTGATCCACGCTTTGTGGACCGCAGTCCTATATTTCCTAGATTGTGTGTAAATTTTTTAAAAAATCAAAAAGGACAAGCCGACAAGCCGAGGAAGGTGTATATATATAGGTGTGTGAGACTACTAAGAGGTATGACCTCAATGGTACAGTAAGACCCTCTGTCCATGTTCTGGACGTAGTAGACGAGCATGTGTATTTACAGCCAGAGAGAGACATTGGATTCAAGGTGTGTTAAATCTAAAGGCTTTCTTACACAACGGTTTTTGAAATTTTGTAATAAATTCCTAGAATGAAACCAGATTGGGGTACTTATGAAAAGATGTATTGGGGCTATCGGGTGGTGAAGGAGTGGTGGCCGGGCAGCTACTGTTCCCACCCTTGCCTTGGCCCAAGCTCCTTGGCTCAATTAGTAGCTGAAAAGGTGGTGCTTCGAACCCAACCAGAGGTGCCTCAAGAGACACGCCACTAACCTTGCAGAGCAGTTCTATTCTGTCCACGTGGGGTCACCATGAATCTACACCCACTGGGAAGCAACTAGCCACGGCTGCTGGCGCTGTGTCTCTGCCCTTGAAGGGCAGAGGTTGTCATGGTAATGGCAAAGGCACGGTTCTCTGAAGGGTTAAGTTCTTTTGAATTGTTACATCATGCTAGAACCTGCAAATATTTCTTTCTTTTTTTTTTCTAACGAGGAGAGAAAATATATGTATTTTTATATAATATCTAAAGTTATATTTCAGATGTAATGTTTCTTTTGCCAAGTCCTGTAAATTATATTTGTGCTATATCGTATTTGGTTTGAAATATTTAAGATGTCTCACTGTTGACATATTTAATGTTGGAAATGTACAGACATATTTAACTGGTGCACTTTGTGTAAATCCCTTGAGGGAAAACTTGCAGCTAAGAGAGGTGGGGGGAAACGCTGCTTGCAAATATCAAATGTATTATATTTCTTCGCTCTTTTTAACTTAATAGAGTCTTCAGACATGTCAAATCTGTGTGGAAAACAAACAAACAAACAAAACGGATGCCTTCAATAATAAGCAGGATGCTGGCCACCAGGTGCCTTTCAAATTTAGCAGCTAATTGACTTTCGAAAGCTGACGTTGCCAAAAAGGATTCCTAATGGGCTGCTGAAATCTGTCAGGAGTATTTGTGTAATTACTGAACAGGTGTGTTTTCTACAAGTGCTGCAAACTATAAATTCCATGTTCTTTTTAATGGGAACGTTATCAGTGGCTCCTAAGCAAA